AAGTTTTATTTGTTTTCCCATTTCAAAGACTGATAAAACAGTCTTTGTTTATAAATGGAAAGCCTTAGAGAAAGTTCAGACTTGGAATGTTCCGTAATTTAAGGCACAAAGGTGACACATATCAGTGCCTGCAAGTTTTTTTTTTTTTTAAATAAAAGTCATCCATAGAGTACCAAAGGCTGTATGTGTACTGATACCTTAACATCATTCGTGGGAATGTTGAGTCATAAGCCACAATTTTACCTACTTGTGTGGCCAGTGTCTGGCGCATAGTGAGCCTAAATCATACAGGCATTTGTGTCATCTTTGTTGCTATTTCCTTCTAGTCTTTTATCTGTTCATATAGATAATTCGTAATCATGGAACACATGGGATTTTGGATTATGATTTCTCATTTAATTTTCCTTGTTAGTCTTCTCATACATTTTAATAGTTGCATAATATTGTGTCATTGATGAACTATAAACATTCCTGTGTTCTTGGACATTTAGATTTCTGACTTGTTTTCTTTTTAAGATAATGCTATAATAAGGATACATATATTGGTGAAGGTCAAGTAGATATTACCATATTATTTTCAATTTCAAAGTTACTTAGAAGTTATTTATGAATACCTACTGTGTGCTATGGAGAAGAGGAACTCTTGATTCTTGGTTCCAGTAGCTTATATTGTCATTCCAGAATGCAAACTAACATATGAAATAAATAGAGCTTATGGACTAAGTATGGTATTAAGTGCAGTTAGAATTCTGAGTCTTAGGTGATCAGAAATACACCTTTTTTTTTAGCTCCTCTTTTTTTTTTTTGAGACAGAGTTTCACTCTTGTTGCTCAGGCTGGAGTGCAGTGGTGCAATCTCGGCTCACCGCAACCTCTGCCTCTCAGGTACAAGCAATTCTCCTGCCTCAGCCTCCAGAGTAGCTGGGATACCGGCATGCACCACCACGCCCAGCTAATTTTGTATTTTTAGTAGAGACGGGGTTTCTCCATGTTGGTCAGGCTGGTCTTGAACTCCTGACCTCAGGGGATCCACCCGCCTCGGCCTCCTAAAGTGCTGGGATTATAGGCGGGAACCACTGCGCCCGGCCCAGCTCCTTTCTCCTTTTAAAAAATCACGGACTGTTGTGTTGACTAGGCAATTTCTGATCATCAGTCTGTTCTGACAGCATACATATCTCAATGTGTTATGTAATACACTGTACGTTTTGGTCAAGACTAGAGTACTAAAGTATGTTGTTATAACCACATACATAAATATTTAATACTTGGCCATTATAATTGGAGGCTGGGCTAAAGGTTTTCTCTTCAGAATGGCAATTTTAAATATTCGTATTAAAACTGAGAACTCTCAAACTCCTGGCCTCAAGCAGTTCTCCTGGCTCAAACTTCCAAAGTGTTGAGATCACAGGCATAGCCACTGGGCCCAGCCAAAACTGACAACTCAGAAGCCATTTTATTTAGCTTAATTCTTTAATGTCTTGAATATTGTTTTAGAACATTCTTGGAGATACTTTGGCCATGACATTTCTGTTGATCTATAAATGTGCATTTACCTTAAGCCATTTGCCTCTTTTCAGGTCATTGTGTCCAATGTCCCAATAGGCCAGTATAGTCTACTTAAAAGCTAAGTTCTTAAGTGATCAATTGTAGTTGAGATAGAATGGTTTCTAACTCAGCTTCTTTTCGTGATTTTAATCCCGCGACTCTTTTATGAGCAGGTGCAAACTACTTTAGAGCCTTGATCTTTTCCCATTTCCATTGACCAATTTCCAAATTATTAGTTACCTCAATCTTAGTTTTCTTTATGGGTTAGTTGTTTTGTAGCCAGTACAAAGCTGATTTGCATAAGCAGTGAGCTGCTGCTAATTCTCTATACATATATTAATGCCTTTGTATGACCGACTGAAAAGTGGATCAAATAACTTACATTTCACATTATAATTATGAGAACCATCAAGAAAGTAACATTAAAATAATGCTGGATATAGTAATGAGCTTGGTACTGTGTTACTCATATAACCAGAACTTCATTTAACTTCGCTAGTACCTGAAAACCAAAGTGAGTTCCTCGATAACTAGAGAAAATTTCGGAAACTCGTTCTGTAATCCTAGGTGTCAGAAAATAAAACACTTGAAAGATGTAAAGAAATCCTAGAAGTAACATGCACGTTTAATCGCAAACCCATGAAAGTCGGCTAGAACGCAGAAATGCCAACAAGTTTAATTGCTAAAAAGCTGAATTTGCAACTTGATTTTACTATTTCAACTATGTAATGACATGAAAATTCATCTTCCCGCCAGTGGGATTTTTTTTTCCCCTCTCCGCACTCAGCCTGGCGCGAGCTCGTGTGCCCGTGCCCGCGCTTCTCGCCGCCTCTAGAAACTAACCACCGGCATCTTAAGCAGCTTCGGAAGGAGTGCCCGGGCTGGGTTAGAGATGGCGGGCAGGTGGCAGGGAAAATCTACAGAAATAAGTGTTGCCCCAAGCCATGTGCTTGGCCCCCATGAAGCGCTAAGGTGTGGTTCCCTAGGGGGTGAGTGCTGTGTGTGGAGTTGGGGAGCGGGGGTCCGGGGGCAGTAAGTGTGGGGAGCTGGCCGGCGCCTCACCTTGCCGGGGACCCCGCGGTGGTCCGTGCTGCCCTGCCAGAAGCGCCTGCTGTAGTTTGTGATGTATCCGACCAGCTTGTCCTGATAGGGGAAATCCACCTTCCAGATCAGGGACCCGTAACCAAAAACCCACATCTTTTCGCGGCTCCTCTGCCACGGCGACGGTGAACCCTAGTTGTCGCCGCGCCGCGGGAGACTGCAGCCTCCGGTAAGCGAGTAACCGGCTGCGCGGGGCGCAGGCGCGATGGCCACTTGGGGCGCAAAGCGCACTGGGAGTTTGGATCCAGAAAGGTTTTCCGAGTGAGTCTCAGTCAGCTTTATTTTATTTCCTTGATTAGGGAGTCAAGAGGCATTAACCTTCGGTGTAGTAAGCAACGGATTCTTTTGCAGCCTCTGTAAATCACCCTAACCTACCTTTAGTGCGCGTGTGCAGAAAACTACAACACCCACAATGCTTTTTGGAACTATTTGGCTCTGAAATTGGAACTGGACTTATTTCTAACGGGGGCGAAGAAGGAGAAAAGGGCAGGAGTCGTCGCTCGTGGTGTCGAGATACGGAGGCGGTGTACTAGCACCGCAGGCAGCACCTAGAAACACGTTTTGCTCTGCTTTGGAAATTAGATTTTTGCCTATATAACAGCAGCAGGAGGAATGTAATCCATATTTGATTTTATGTCCTCAAAAGAATGTCTTTTGCCTTTCAAATAAAAGCGGGAAGTTTACAATAGAAGTTTACGCCTGTGAAAGAGTATGTGTCATTTCAATGGGAATTGTTTATATATTTAAATTTTACACAAATTTATTCATCTTTAGTATTATCAGTGACTTGTTCACAAAAGAGCAGGCAAATGTTCTTAACTTGGGGCCCCTGTAAAGGCTTTGGAAAGGAGCTGGGGAACCTGCCGAATTTGTGTACAAAATTTGGGGTGTACACTTTTCTGAGGGGAAACTACAGCTTTCATGAGTTTCTCCAAGGCGTCAGGGATCCTAAAATTTTTTGAAGATCTGCTCGTTAGAGCTCTTGCTGCAAAATATTGTTTAGGAAACTCGCTTGGACTATCATGGCTGTGTCTGTGTGTGAAAACAGAAGCCTTACCAAGTGATTGTTCTTTCTTGAAGATTTTTATACTGTGGTTTTGAATGCTAAAACACTCAGATTCAAGGGGTATTATTTCTTTTCTTATAAAGAAATCAGCAGGAAGCTACCAAACAAACAAAAAACAAGTCTTTTCCTATTTTCTCTAAGTTGTAGTTTCAAATTGCCTGACATGTTTGCTAACCCTTCTTTTCTGAAAAATTTCGAATATACAGAAAACTTAGATAAAAAGAGTGTAATGACCAATACGTTTCATCTAGATCCGATAATTACCATTTTTCACAGTTGCTTTACTTCCTTTTTACTCTATACTTTTAAATGGAAAACATTTGAAGTAAGTTGCATGTGTTACGACGTTTTACTGCCACATGCTCTACATGTATCTTATAAGAATAAGGACATTCATCCTAGAACAAGTTCCCTAAAAAAAAAGAATAAGGACATTCTCCTCATAACTGTAATGCCATTATCACATCTAAGAAAATTAACAATAGTTATGTAATCAAATATGTATTCCATATCCAAACTGCTTCATAGAGTCACTAACAAGAAATTGTGTCTTCGAGAGAGTCACATGAGAGCTATACTGGACTCTGACTGGAGGGGAACTTGAAGTGAGCATTGGAGGGAGATGATGATGCGGGCAAGAACTCTGTTAAGAATTTTCTGGGCTATGTAGGAAAGTGGGGCTCGTCTCTTTATGGTGTTCTATGTTGGTTTCAATATGCTCAGTCAGTACGACTATTTGGTCAAGCATAGAGAACCTGAGTGTTTAACCTCTTCTGGAAAGGACCAGCAGGTGCAGGAAGACTAGAATGACACCTATCTTTCACTGCTTTTCTGGACTTTTTGGGTTTAGTTGTTTCCTATAGAGGGCTATATATTGAGACTGAGCATTGCTGGTAGTGGAATGGTCATCTCTGCATAATGTAGTGTACACTGGGGATTAAGTAGAGGTGCTCTCATCAATGGAGCACCAAAGAGTACATTGTGGTGGGGTATGAACAGGAGCAGAAGCCTGCTGCTCAAACATTTCCAGAGGAGGAAAGATAGAACACTTAAAAGTCCCTTCATGTTTTTAGTAGGAACATTCCAAGGAATTCTAATCTGCCAAACGGAGAAACTCCCTGGTTTAGGCACCAGCAGAGACTGTGGCGTGGTAGTCACTTTCTGTATTGTGGGCCCTTCTTTGGCAGTCATGTGAGAGATACTAGACAGGCCCACCATGATCTGCTAACCTCTAGGAGTGAAGTGTTGTTTTATTGACTATAGTATTATCCTTCTACCTTGTTTTGTAGACTGGTCAAACAAATGGATTTTACAGAGGCTTATGCGGACACGTGCTCTACGGTTGGACTTGCTGCCAGGGAAGGCAATGTTAAAGTCTTAAGGAAACTGCTCAAAAAGGGCCGAAGTGTCGATGTTGCTGATAACAGGGGATGGATGCCAATTCATGAAGCAGCTTATCACAACTCTGTAGAATGTTTGCAGATGTTAATTAATGCAGGTAAAGTAAATTTAAGGTATGGAGGCTTCGCTTACAAGCTGGGTTAATAAAACATTAAAAAATTATAATACATAACTTATTAACAGCAGTATTTGTTTCCCTTTCTATAGTCATAAAATAACTGCCTGAATTTATTTATTAAGGATAGTAAGATTACTTGCCTTGGATTCAATTCGTATGATATTCTAGTTGGACATTTTATATGCAAGTGCCTCTGTCTGGCCTCTTTTTATTGACCGAGCTAGGTGACATGGGAGAAGTAGTCTGCTGTTTGAATTTAAGCATTTGGTAGTTACTGGTCATGTTTATTCTTTCTTCCTTTACCAAACAGAAAGAGCAATCATACTGAAATTGAGGATGTGTTTTGATTGAATTAGTCTTTTTCTTTTTAAACACTTTTTAACACTTGTGGGAATTTTTACAACTACTTAGCATGAGACAAGATGCCTGCCTTCCTGATGCTTTTCCTTATCAAGGAAAACAGATGACAAATATCTAAACAAACAAGATAATTTAAAAAGGTAAAAGTGTCATGAAGAAAAGAAAACATAGTAGAGATAATAAAACAAATGGGATAGAGAATAATGGTGTGCTACTGCACATCTCTTTACATCTCTGCATTCAGTGACTTCACGCTTGCGGTCTATCATGGTAGGAGTATTTACAGCACAGAAATAAGCCAGTGCTACAAACCAGTGCTATAAACTGGGTTTTCTTCTTCCTGGACAGCTAGTTGTTAAACGTTAACCAGCATGCTACTGAGTGAAGAGGACTGACTAAAGGCGAGATTCTGACATTTAGTAGAGGGGGGTAGGAAGAAAACAGATGGTGGATTGAGCATTGCTTTGTAATAGTCATTGTGCCACATGCTCAAGTTTGTCTTCTTTAATATTTATAAAAGTGGTGTTAGAGGCAGTATTCTCCTCATTGGTGAAAAGACCAAGGCTCAGAGAAGTTGACTTGTAAAAGGTTACATAATAAACTAGGGTATTTGATTTGAACCCATTTCTCTGACTGTAAAGCCCCTCTCTCATACCATGCTTCTAACATTTAATTGAATGAATTTATAGCATTCAGTTAAACTGAGGTTGACTATAATACTCTGCATTGTAACACTCAGAGAACCATTTACATTTCATTGATCATGGAAATTCAGACCCTCTTCCCTTCATACTTATCATCACCAGGTATAGGTGCTTAAAATACAGACTTCTGGGTCCATAGCTCATCAGAACTACTAATTTGTTACCTCCTGGACAGGAAAGGAAATAATCTTTACATTGTTTTTAGTAGTGGTAGGTGGGTTTTTTTTTTTTTTTGTCTTAACAGGTAAGAGATGGTAAGGCTAAACTCCCTAAATCGTACTGCAGGAAATCTGTCATGATTGTTTTTAAAATCACATGTTCAAGTGTCTAGTGTCTATTATAGTTAAGTTTTTGAAGATACTGGAAAAATAGATATTATTCCTCTAATTTCAAATGCTTAAGATATGTTTTCAGAATCTGTTTGAAGTAAACTATAAAGCTTGAGTTCCCAGACTATTTGTAGTAACAAAGACGTGAGTTTGAATATCCTTTTCTAGGCAAAAAGCTCATTTCCAATATACTGTTACGTCTCTTCTTCATATCGGAATAGCATAGTTTATGTTACAGATTTTTTTCCTTTATCTGCTGAGTAAAGTTGGGCATGCTTTTGGCTAAAGGCATTTGAACTGGCTGTAAAATTCATCTCTACAGTTGTCCCTCTGTATCCGCAGGGATTTGATTCCAAAATGTCCACGGACACCAAAATTCATGGATGCTCCTCAAGTTCTGCAGTCTGTCCTGAAGATAGAAAAATGTCTTATACGCAGATACGAAAAGTCAGCCGTTTGCATCTGGGGGTTCCACATCCCACAGATGCTATTATCTTCCATCCCAGTTGGTCGAATCTGCAGGTGCAAAACCCATGGATACAGAGGCCGACTGTATTTCCTTTTCTTCTGAGATGGAGTCTTGCTCTGTCGCCCAGGTGGGAGTGCAGTGGTGCGATCTCAGCTCACTGCCACCTCCACCTCCCAAGTTCAAGCAGTTCTCCTGCCTCGGCCTCCCAAGTAGCTGAGACTACAGGTGCACACCACCAGTGCCTGGCTAACTGTCTCACTTTGTTGCCCAGGCTGGTCTCAAACTCTTGGCTCAAGTGATCCTCCTGCCTCAGCTTCCCAAAGTGCTGGGATTACAGGTGTGATGCACCACACCTGCTGTCTTTTGTTATATAATTTTCCTACCTCCCTGAGGTTTATCTAATATTAATGCACTGTCACAGATTCCTAAAAGATAATTAGTGCACCAAAATAAGAAGGTATGTAGGCCTACACAAATAAAATGGAAATACCTAAACTGGTTAGAAGAGTTTTGCTTCACTGTCTGTTCAATTTAGATTTGGAATCCATTCTGAGTACAATACGTGGTCTTCTGACTCAGATTGGAGAAGAGCATTCAAGTGTGGTGTAGATTACATAGATGTTTAATATGCATACATATTTTTGTATTATGTATCTCATTTTAGTTTTCTATTTAACATATTAGTACAGATAACAAATTTGCTTGTCTTCTTTCCTGTATTGGAGGTTGGGTGTAATGGGTATTGAAATTTTATGAAGCTTGTCATCCTGGAGGGCAGTAATGATCTTCACTGACAATTAATGCCATTCAATAATAAATCATTTGCTGACTAAAAGTCCCTTAAAATCTTATAATTATTAAGCATATAGCTAACAAATACTTTTATTTGCCTAATAAATGACCTAGCTTATAGTATTTTTTGTTAGTTCATGTTAACTAAGAAAATATGCACTAATACTGGGCACAGTAACAGATGCTGTTCCTTAGACAAATCATTGTAGCATAGTGATTAAGAGTTGTGGTCAGATGGACCTGGATTCTAGTGATTCTACCATTTTATTGGTGTGACTTTGGACAGGATTTTTAAACTCTAGGTGGTTTAGTTTTTTCATCTGTTAGATAGAAATATTCCATTGTTCCAGCTCAGGCCAGAAACTCTGGGCCACCATTCATTTCTTTCTTTTTCTCATATTTTTCATCTAGTCAGTCAGCAAATTTGTGTACGTGTATGTTAGGGAGAGACGTCCTAGCAAAAGCAGGGGCCAGTCAGATCACTTCTCACTACCATTAGTACATTTGTCAGAGCCACATCTCTTGTCTGGGTTGCTATAGTAGCATCTTAACAGATCTTCTCTACTTGCTGTTGCTCCTTCTCCATCCCATGACAGGCCATCCCCAACATATTAGAGGGATCATTTTAAAATACAACAGTCCAAGTCACTCTTCTGCTCTCTGAGTGAAAACACTTTTTTGTAGTATTTCATGGTAGAAATGTAGTGTAATTTATGTAACCATTCTCCTATTGATAGACATTTTGTTGGTTTCCTAAAGTTTTGCTGTTATAACTAGTGATTCAGTGAACATCCTTTTGTATATATCTTTGTGCACATGGTTGAGCATTTCTGTAGGATGGAGTTTTAGAAGTGCATTTACTGGTTTGATAAGTTAGAGTTTTCTGGAGAAATAGAACCAATAAAATATATATAGATAGACAAGAGGGGATTTACTATGGGAATTGGCTAATGTAATTATGGGAGCTGAGAAGTCCCATGATACGCTGTCCGTAAGATGGAGAACCAGGGAAGCTGGTGGTGTAACTCAGCCTGAGTCTGAAGGCCTGAGAACCAGGGGAAGTGATCGTGTAACTCTTAGTCTGAGGCCAAAGGACTGAGAACTGGGGTATGGGAGGCCACTGGTGTAAGTCCTGGAGTTCGAAGGCCTGAGGATCAGGATCTTTAGTATCCAAGGGCAGGAGAAGATGCATGTCCTAGCTCAAGAGAGAATGAATTCTCCCTCTTGCCTTTTTTTTTTTTTCTTTCAGTTGCAAGATTAATAGAGTGAAAACAGAGCTCCCATACAACAGGAGGGGACCCAAAGGGGGTTGCCGCTCCCTGTTCAAATGCCTGAGTTTATATCCCAATCATTGTCCCTCCCCCTGTGCTCTCAAGCGATATGTGATTTGACTATTTCTTTACCTCCTGCTTTAGCCTAATTGTATTTTAGTGAGCCTCTTTACTACCTGATTGGTTGGGTGTGAGCTGAGTTACAAGCCCCGTGTTTAAAGGTGGATGTGGTCACCTTCCCAAGTAGGCTTAGGAATTCTTAGTTGGCCTAGGAAATCTAGCTAGTCTTGTCTCTCAGTTCCCCCTCTCAACAGGAAAAACCAAGTGGTGTTGGGGATGTTGGCCGACGACTGCTCTTAACTGCTTCCTGCTGAATTGGGGCATAGTAGGGGTTGTGCATTTGAGATTTCCTCGGGAGGGGTGCCTTCAATGTCATCAACATTGGAGCATGGGCTAGCAGGCCGGTCCAGGGGTCTACAGTAGATCTTAGTCATGGACTGCATCTGGGGTTCCATTTGAAGAACAATTTGTAGTTTTACAGCTTTGATTCTGGAAGAGACAAACGTAACAAGGAGGTTAACGATACAGGGATTGAAATGTAGACCTGAAGTGCAGGGGATTATTTCTTTGGCACACTTCACAGGCCCTGACTATCTGCTTGATAGTTTTGAAAAGGCCTGGTCCAGTAAATAATGATTTGGCCATCTGATGGGTGCTATCAATGCCTAAGTGAAAGGTCTGGTGTAGGGTTTTAAGTAATTTCCATTGGTTAGCTGCAGGCAAAGGTATTTTTCCTTCTTCAGTGGCTAGCCATCCTGAGGGGAGGAAGCGGTGTCCTCTTTTGGTTCCCGATTCTATTTCTTCTGTTGAATACGGGGGCTTGGTTTCCTTGAAGGGCTTACCCCATACAAGGGGTCCTCCTGTAAGCATTTCTAATGGAGGGTCCCGCCTTGTGGCTCTTTTGGCTTCAATATCTGCTTCGTGGTTCCCTTCTATTTCTCTTTTCTTTTCTTTCTGATGACCCCAGCAGTGTAAGACTGCCGCCTCTTTACGTTTCTTTGTACAGCCAAAAATAATCTCCTGATGGCTTCCTGATGTTTGATAGGTGTTCTCTCGGAAGTTAGGAATTCCCTTTCTCTCCGTATTGTTGCGTGGGCGTGGAGGACTAGGTAAGCATACTTTGAGTCTGTATATATATTTACCCTTTTTCCTCCTCCTAATTCTAGTGTATAATGGCACCTGTTTTTGCTAGGATGTCTCTCCCTAACAAAGAAGTGGGGCTTTCAGGCATAATTAGAAAGGCATGTGAAAAGAGTAAAGTTAGCCAGTCACAACTTAGTGGCTGGCAGAAGTATCTAGTGACTGACTGTCCTAGGACCCCTCGAATAGTGACAGATCTGGAGGACAGTTGTCCGGGACAGGAGAGTAAGACTGAGAAGGCCGCACCAGTGTCCAGGACAGTTAACCTCCTGGCCCTCAATGGTCAAGCGTACCTGGGGCTATGTGAGGGTGATGGCATGGGCTGGTGCTTGCCCTGGGCACCCTCAGTCCTGCTGCTGGATCATCTGGTTAGTGGCTTCTGACTCAGAGGACCTTCATCCCCTGGGGCAGTGGGCCTTCCAGTGATTCCCTTGACAAAAGGGAGCGGCTTATTCCTATTGGGACAGTCTTTTAAAGTGTCCTTGTATACCGCACTGGAAGCAATCCCCATTAGGCATTCAATTTGCCCAGACTTTCCCTGTACCAGAGACTCCAAAGTCCACTTGCCTGAGGGTCATGACTAAAACGGTAGCCTTTTTCTTATCCCGTTTATCCCGTTCTGACTACTCCTCCTAATCTGTGTTATAAAAAACTGAGGTTGCCAAGTTCAATAGGGTTTCGAAGTTTTGCTCTGGGCCTAAGGCAGACTTTTGAAGTTTTCTTCCAATGTCTGCAGTTGACTGAGTAATTAAACTTATCCTTTAAGATTAGTTGGCCTTCAATAGAGTCAGGCGACAGGGAGGTATGTTTCTCAGTGCCTCCCTTAGTCTCTTCAGAAAGGCAGTAGGACTTTCTTCCTTTCCCTGTGTTATAGTGGACATCATTGAACAATTCATAGGCTTCTTCCTACTTTTCCTTAGCCTTCTAGCATGCAAGTTAGCAAACGTCTGCGGCACCAATCTCCATATTCTGATTCTGCGTCCCAGTGAGGGTCTACACTGGGAACTGCCTGCTGACCTGTGGGGAATTTTTCTCTTTCCTCTGTTGTCATCCTGTTGTTGACCTGACTGAGACACCAGAGATAGCCAAACTCTCGGGCTGCAGTTATGGTGGCACTTCTCTCTTTTGGGGTTAGTGTCTGATCTAGCAGTAACATTATATCTTTCTATGTCAGATCAAAGGATTGCCCTAACCCTTGTAAAACATCAATATAGCCATCAGGGTTATCTGAGAATTTACCTAGGTCTATTTTAATTTTCTTCAAGTCTGACAGAGAAAAAGGTATATACACTCTGACTGGGCTGAATTCTCCAGAATACATCTTAGGGGCATTTTTGCCTTGCAGGGAATACCTCCCATCTGAAAAAAGAACATAGAGATGCCAGCGCCCCTAGTCATTTTCCAATGAGCATTAGTCCTAGAGCGTCCTCTGTGGTCCTAATGCTTATTCCTTTCCAGGGTGTGTAACCACCCGTGGACCTCTGCTTGTCGGATTAGTTACACTCACCGATGTAGCAGTCCTGCACCTGTTTTCCCGCCTTTCTTGACCGCAAAGAAAGGGGTCCAGGCTGCTGGATTCTAGCGGTCCTTTACCAGCGTGCCCAACATTGCCTCTGTGATCGGGTGAGTTCTAGAGCTGGGCTGGGTTCCTGAGTATTTCATAACAACGCAGTTGCCCCATCAAGATGCATTCCCATAAACAACAGTTCTTACGCAAATTATTTTCAGAGAGGGTGTAGGTAACCTTTTGAGTCAGGATTGAGATACAGTTTTTGCCCACTAGGGCCTCTGTCCTTCTTTTCGCTTGCAGGAATATGCCCTAATTATTGATCTTAAACTTTTTGTTGCCCCGGATTAAGTCCTTTCGGATGTGTAATATGAGAGATGGCTCCTATTTATCCTATGTGCCTTTTTCCGTGGGTTACTGGGTTAAGGATTTTTGATAGGAAGGCTACAGGTTGCCAGTGGTCTCAGTGTTTTCAGGCTACGCCCTTGTTTATACTGACAACAAGGTAGTATTGGAGTGTTATAGGGTCACAGGGAAGACCTTCAATTATCAATTATAGGTTTTAAATTTACCCTTTTAAAGGAATAGGGCACAATTTTTTCTTTACTACTTCTATGTCTCTTTTTCTCTCTCTCCCTCTTTTCTCTCTTTTCTTTCTCTATCTCTTCTCTCCTTGACTTACTCAGTTCACTTTCATCCTATTATGTTGTTGTAGACCCAGTTCCAGTTGTTAAAGTACTGGGCCATTAGTTCTAAGGCCCTGGCCAAGGAGCCAAGGGTTGGAGATTGTATTGCAGAGGGGTAAGCTGGGTAGAAATTGGGGGAGGAGAGCATCTTACACAATGGGAGAGTAATCCTCCTGCCATTTATAAACATGGAGCCCTGGCAACAGTGGTAGGGAATGGGTCCCATATAACTGCCCATGTCAAGAGCTGTATATCTAAACTGGGAGGGACACCAGGGACAAGACTCCCTGGGTTCATAGCCTAGATGCCTAAGGACACAGCATAGAGCTTCCTTATATCCCTTTGGAGATACAACTTGCTCTAATACTTGGGAAAGGAAATGAAAGTATGAACCATTAGTACCTAGGAGGCAAGGAGGATTGGAGGAAGGAGAATCAGAGATAAGGAGAATTTTGGGCTATACTTTCAAGAAAGTCATGGTCAGGACCCAGGAGGTATGGGTCAGAAGGAAAGGTAGGAGAGCATGCATGGGCAACTGTTGAGTAGAAACTTCTGGCTGTGGGAATTCGGGACAACAGCTTTCTGTCTCTAGTCGGTCCTCAGCTTCCCCAGGAAAATTGAAAGTGGAAGCTGGTTCCAGGCAGACCAACGTTCCCAACCCAGAAAGGTTGGGGGTTGTTAGAAACCCTTTTCCCAGATAGCCTCACACCTGAGTCTTAAGTCCGGCAGCCACGCTAATCATTTTTAACCAGCTGACAGGTGCCCGGTATTTTCTTCCAATTCTAAGGAAGGATAGGACAGAATAGCAGGTGAAAGTGGTCCAATATTACTCACTGCTTTCGAGGTCCCTTTGTGGTCGCCAAAATGTTACCTGGGGGGACTTGTTCTTAGAGTTCCCAAGATGGTGGTGGGCTGCTTCCAAGATGGCGGCAAGCCTCTTGTTCTCTGACCTGGGGTTCTTGGCCTTATGGATTCCAAGGAATGGAATCTTGGGCCACGTGGTGAGTGTTATAGCTCTATTCAGCTCGATTAGGACGAACCCCAGGCACTTAGCCCGTGCAGGAACAATGGCGAGCCTCCAGCTCAATTGGGAGTGGCAGTGGGCGCCGCCTCGCTGGATCAGAAGTGCAGTGGACGCCCTGCCGGATTGGAGGGGTGGAAGTCAACGGCGGGTCTGCGACAACAGCAATCAGCGGTGGTGGACGGCAAGCAAAAGCTCAGTTCAAACCGGAACAAACACGGACCAGAGAGTGTGCAGTTGCAAGATTTAATAGAGTGAAAACAGAGCTCCCATACAACGGGAGGGGACCCAAAGGGGGTTGCCTGCCTTTTTTTTTTTTTTTTTAGGTCCTTCAAGGATTAGATGATGCCTGCCCACATTGGTGAGGGCGGGTCTTGTTTATTCAGTCTACTGATTCAGATGGTAATGCCTTCCTGAAACATCTTCACGGATATACCCAGAAATGTTTTAGCAGCCATCTAGGCATCCCTTAACCCAGTCAAGTTAACATGTAAAATTAACCATCACCATGCCAAGTTAAAATATTGATAGATCCTGCTAAATTGTATGCTATGTTAATCAGGATTCTTTCAGTAGTGAGCGAAAGAAACCTAGTTCAAACTAGCTTAAGCAAAGAAAGGGAATATAGTAACTCAAGTAAACGTAAATCTGAATGATAGGTCTCTTCAGAGATTGCTGGATTCTGCTATTAGAATGATGTCATTAGACAGGCAAGATTTCCCTTTGGAAGTTCTAGACTTACCTTATTTATTTTTTTAATTAAAAAAATTTTTTTTAAAGAGATGGGGTCTTACTCTTGTCCAAGCTGGAGTGCAGTGGTGTGATCATGGCCCACTGCAGCCTCCAACTCTTGGGCTTAAGTGATCTTCCCATCTCAGTCTCTGGGATAAATGGGACCACAGACATATGCCATCACATCAGGCTAATTTTTTATTTTTTATATTTCATACAGATGGGAGGTCTTGCTATGTTGTCCAGGTTGGTCTCGAACTCCTGGCCTCAAGTGATACTCCTTCCTTGGCCTCCCAGAGTGCTGGGATTACAGGCATGAGCCACTGCATTAGGCCTTACCTTATCTGTAAAGAGCTCTTTATGTATTCTGGATATTAATCCTTCGGTGTTATATGTGTTTCGGGTATTTTCTCTTCACTTTTCTTATAGTGTCTACTTTCTTTGTAATGCCTTGCAACCTCTTCCTCTTCACTGACTTCTTTCATGCATTTTGTGTGCATTATGAAGTCTCTCCTGAGGGTTTTCTGAGAAGTTTGCACATAATAAAATTCCTTGTATTGTGGAAATCATTTTATATCTAACCTTATAATTCCTAAGTAAAATATAGTAAGATGATATAAATTGTGTAAATGGCGTGGCGATATAATCTTGACATTTATTACACTTGTGATTGGCACGTAGTAAATTTGTCATCAAATTCTGGCTCAGCTGTTAAGAAAGATTCTGATCTTAATACTTAACCTATCTCCTCTACTGAAAACCTTGTGTTTTTACTTTCCCTGTTAGAGTCTGCAGAAAACAAAAATAACGGTCTACCACCCATCACTACCACTTTTGTAAGAAGTAATAGGCAAGTTTATTATTCATAAGTAAAAAGACACTTTGTGTCAGCAAACATAGGGTGTGGTTTCATTGGCAGTGTTTGGGCCAACTCTTGTCATTGCTACACAGGCGTCAGTGGCTGGCGTTGGTTCAGCTGTGGTGGCTCTACTTCTCCAAGTAGTCCCAGGAAAGAACTCACAAGTTGTGAAAGACCTGAAGTGCTCATTGTATTTGTCCATTAAGAATGTGTTTAATACCCATACCATTTAAAGTTTCAGTAAGTAGATGAGAAGGAGAAATCACTTTGCCTTCCTTTTAGGGTAAAGAGAGATTAAAGCATTAAAAACAGTGAGTAGGATGAGCCATTTCTTTTTCAGGAAACCCCCCTGTAGAGAAAGGAAGAGAGTGAGAAGGTGGTGATTGATGGTCCAGTACAAGGTAGATAAGATCCCTTTGCTAAAGCTCATGTATCAGTTTAAGGAAAGCAGTTTATCTTTGGAACTTTCAAAACTAATTTATAGTGGGTGCTGAAAACTTTCTTAAAATGGTACTTTGGAGACTTTACTAAATTTGTAACAACTTTGACAGTACTTAAATTGCGTATCTATCTGCATTTGTATTTTACAAAAATTTAGACTATATACCTAATTGTATTGAACCCCATTGAGAGTTGGTCCAGCTAATTTATCTTTGTTTCACTGTCACGGAACTTGAGCCTCAGAGAGATTTAAGTAATTGGCCCAAAGTGTAATCCATATTATTTCTGGCAGAGTCAAAATTGCAGCCTAAATCCAACTTCAAATGTTACCTTCCTGGTCCAGTGATTTAAAAGTTAGCTTACTACTTTTTTTTCTATAGGTAAAGTATTTCAGGATCTCAAATTAGTAGTAAATTGACTTCAGTATTTCTCACCTGTGTGAGAAGTGCCTTTTATTTTCTTTATTTCATAATCACACAGGAGATTTTATTTCCTTTTCCTAAGATGAGTGTGTATGCAAGTCACTAAAGGTGGCTTGCATTCAAGAAGTGGGAATTAAACTCTACTTCCTTGATGGAGGAGTCTTTACAGAAATTATTTGGAAGTCTTCTATATCGGAGATTTATCTCTTCTCTCCCATTAATTTATATATTTAGTCATTTATATCTGCATGGACTCATTGTTACTTATTTCATACCTGTACTTTAGGTTACAATCCAATACAAAGTAATTTATTTTGTTGCTCATATTGTTTTGGTCATAGGATGCCCTTTCAGAGTGGCTCCTGTGTCTCTTTTGCATGTCCCCATTGTTTGTTTTTTGAGCACTTTTTACTTTTTGGACCTGTGGTATGCTCCAGACTCTTTGTATGTTTCCCACCTCAGCCCTGGGATCAGCCATTTTCATAAGAGCTCTGGTTTCTTTTATGGGAGAATGGTATTGAAAACCAAGATCTGAGGTCAGGCACGGTGGCTCACGTCTGTAATCCCAGCACTTTGGGAGGCCGAGTTGGGCGGATCACCTGAGGCCAGGAGTTTGAGACCAGCCTGGCCAACATGGCAAAAACATGTCTCTACGAAAAAAATACAAAAAATTACCCGGCTGCGGTGGCACGCCTGTAATTCCAGCTACTCGGGGGGCTGAGGCAGCAGAATCTCTTGAATCCGGGAGGTGGAGGTTGCAGTGAGCCAAGATCACACCACCGCACTCCATCCTGGGCAACAAGAGTGAAACTCCATCTCAAAAAAAAAGGGGGGGGGGCGGGGAGCAAGATCCGAGGACTGAGTGTGCTTGTTGCTACTGAACTGTCATTGATTTTAAGCTAAACATGAATTCATACTGATGTCTGGACTCTAATCCAGAACCACATGGTTCATTCTAGCCTTCCCTCTTTCCTTAACTGTAATGTTCCTCTCCAGCAGTAAGAAACCTGGCTCGCAGATCTGCCATCTGTTTATTTATTTGTTTGTTCTTCGTATTCATGTAGAATGGTTTCAGAATTGTTAATCTCTACTCCTAGAAACAGCTTTACCAACTAGACTATAGTGTTTATGTGCAGTTCTTTTTGTCTTTAGTCTGACAGTTTTCAGTCATAGCATCATTTATCAAACTTATATAGACCAGCATCTTTTTTCTCTCTCTCTCGATGTGGTTATGACATATATTTGTATTCCAATTAGATTCTTTTGTCACAGTCTGCATTCTCTTCTAGGATCCCCCTTCCTTTTACCTCTTGGTTGATTTTTTTTTTTTTTTTTTTATGTTGCATACATTAAAGTTCACTCTTTCTGCTGTAAGGCATATTATTTAAATGGCCAGGATTAAACTTTATCTCTTTTTTTCCTTTGTAAGTAGAGGAGAACATCTCTTCTTTATAAGAGAAAGTTCCTTGGCCTCTGTAATATAACACTGGTCTACGTCTCCTACCTTTTAGCGATCATCTTTCTTAGTCTCCTATTGCATCTGTTGATTCCTTTCCCTGATGGGTACCTTCCTTTCTGCATTTGTACCAGGAGCACATTACTTTACTTTTTCTAACTTTAAGACATGGTTTAGTATATAGTAAGTCTAGGTATGCTTCAATGCTTGTCTTGTTCATTTTTCTAAATTCTTTGTTACTCTTACCTGCCCTACTGATAGAGGAGACAGCCAAATGCTGCCTAGGTCATTGTGCACCGGGAGCTTGCCTAAACATGCCCATGGGGGTGAAAAATTCCATCCCTTAATACATGCACAGAAGGGAAATAAATCAATGTGGAGTGGCTCAGAATAAGGGGCTGCCTGTGCACTGGAAGAATGGGGTGAAGCCACCGGGAATTCTCGTCTTATGTGAGGAGAGGAGCCTGGTCTCTTCAGCTCATGTGTGGTGGTCTGCTATTCAATCTGTGGAATGGGAACCTGTTGGCAGGACCCCCTTTGTTAGCTGAGAGCTTTCTTTTAATAAATTCCACTCTCCTCACCTTTCAGTGTGTCCACATGCCTGATTTTTCCTGGTGGTGACATAAGAACCTGGATTTTAGCTGAACTAAGGAGCAAAAAATCCTGCGTCACTACCTTAGCCTTATCAACTTGAGTTACTTTATCAAGTATAAAACAAGCAAACAGCTCTACTGGCATTTTTATTAGAATTGTATTAAATTTATTAATTATTTTGGGAAGAATCAGCGTCTTTATAATATTGAAATTTCCCAGTTAGGAGCCAATCTACCAATGTCAATTATCTATATATATCTTTGTGTTCCTTGGTTTTCATGTCATTTGTATTCACAAAACTGTCAGGTTAATACATGAAATAAGGGTCATGTCTGACTAATCTCTGACTAATCTCAATAGACTACTTTGAATAAGAGTCAACTTCTGACTAATGTCTGAAACCCTATTTCTGTGATATGCCCTTTTAATAATGACTACCTTATCTTGCCAATTAGTTGTGCGTCTGTAAAGTTTGAGACTATTTTCTTTGAATATATGTACTTAGAAGCTGTTACTGTGATATTATGGCTTAATTTACTTGTTTCATCAGTGAGTTACAATTACAAGAATTACTTGAAATAGATGACTAGTTAGGAGCATTCATTTCAATTCTGATACTTCAAGAAAATGTTTTTAAAAGTTTTTTTTTTATTTTCTGTTTAGTTTATTCCAACTATCAGAAATGTCTTCACCATTCACTTTAGAGCCCATCCTTCTATAATGGGCAGTTGGAGTGTTACCAGAACCTTGGCTTTTTCATAACAAGTATATTTCAGAAACTTTAACTCATAAATTCCTTATTATATATCACTGTTTGGTTGTGTTGGAGTGCATTTTATTCTTTTAGAACTGCAGTTTTCATTAACTATTAGACCATAGTCTTAAGTTAGAAAAGGAGTATTTAAAACTGCCTCATGGTATTAGTTGAGTACAAGGAAGTAATGCTAGAGATTAGACCATTTCCCTTATGGAAATTTAAAAATAAAAAAATAAATTGGTTAATTTTTCGATAAATTCTGTTTAAGCAAATCTTTAGTGCTGCATCCTCCCCAGATTATTGCTTTTGTGTTACCTTTCAATTTCTGCCACTCCTTTTCCCTTACTCACCAAAAATTAGAGAAGAGAAAATAAGAGTGAGTGGGCAGGATTTGTGTATTAAGAATACCAAAGAGCTGTCCACATTGGGATCTCTGTAGAACTTTTTCTTGATTTTTCTAGAGTTTTAAATGGTGAAACCTGTCATTTATAAATTACTGACATTTTAATAGTTCATTAAATTCCTCTTGGAATCTTTGCTTTTTAAAACCAGGAAATAGAAGTAATATCTTCTAGTTGATGGGCTTTGATTCTTCCATAGATTCATCTGAAAACTACATTAAGATGAAGACCTTTGAAGGTTTCTGTGCTTTACATCTCGCTGCAAGTCAAGGACATTGGAAAATCGTACAGATTCTTTTAGAAGCTGGGGCAGATCCTAATGCAACTACTTTAGAAGAAACGACACCATTGTTTTTAGGTAAGTATGCTATTTGTGGTACCGTTGCAGTTTTTCATCATTTTTTTGTTAAACTAAGCTCAATTTTTCCTTCAGCTGTTGTAATTATAGTATGTTCTTTTGGCAAGTATTATACCACTACTTCTTTGATTTTGAAACTGAAAAGATATTTTTAAAGGTTTTGGTCTTGTTTTCTATTCTTGGGTGGTAGCTTCTGGGACTTTGTTTATTTAAAGGTGCAAAATCTGTTTTGAATTGTAGGCACCATCATTGTTCTCAGTGTTGTTCTGAAGACTAGGCATCACTGAAATTGTAGCAATAGTTGCAAGGTTACCTGTGAATGTTTTATGTTTGCTTTTGCCTTTTCTTAGCATTAAAAAATTAAGAAGCTTTTATGGAAGAAATCACCAGCTAATACTTTAATGCCAGTTAATGTGTTGCCTGTATGGATCACTGTTCACACTTCTTCCATTAAAGACTGTTTTTTAATTCCTTAAGGATGACAGCCAAATTCTAAATGGCTTTCTTCCAATAACTGTCTTTTTTCTTCTTTTCCTCCTTTCTTCTATTCGCTTCTATTTGTCTTCAGGGACATTGTGTCCCATAAAGTTTATGAGAAAATTGAGTCAATGAAGTGTTTGGAATAGAATCAGTGCATCTGGACTGTAGTTTTGGTCCTGCCACATGTAATTTGTATATTTATTTATTTACTGCATGCTTCAGTGTCCTCACTTATGGAATGAGAGTAAATAGTACCTACCTGATCTTTGTTATTGGGCTGAGAATAAAATGAGTTGTCTATGAAAGTACTTTTTTCCCTTGTGGACTTAAAAATATTATTTAAATTTATGTACTTTAGTAAAATTCATTTTTTTTGGTATAACAGTTCTGTGAGTTTTGATGTATTCATAAAATTCTGTAATGACAACAATCAAAATATAGAACCATTCCATCACTCCTCAAAATTCCATCATGCTGCCAATTTTTATCAATATTTTCCTCCCTCCCCCTGGCTCCACCCCTGACAGCGACTGATCTGTTCCTATCCCTGTAGTTTGCATTTTGCTGAATGTCATAGACATATACCATGTATATATATATATATATGCACACACACACACACACCATATAGCCTTTGAGACTGGCTTCCTTTAACTAGTATGATACTTTTGAGATTCATCCATATTGTTGCATGTATCAATAATCCATTCCTTTTTGTTGCTGAATCCTATTCTATTAAATAGATGTAATACAGTCTATCCATTTATCAGTTGGATATTTGAGTTTTCAGTGTTCAGTGGTTATGACTAAATCTAAAAACATTTGCAGACAGGTTTTGTATCAATATAAGTTTTTATTTCTCTTGGGTTAATACTTAGGATTGGTATGACATATAGTAAATATGTGTTTAACTTTGGAAAACAAGTTGGAAGTTTTTTTCTACCGGTTTGCATTTCCTTCAGTAATGTTTGAGACTTTTAGTTGCCCTATATCCTTGTCAACATTTGCTATTGGCAGCTTTTTCTTTTTCTCCCTTATATTTCAGTAATTTTAATGGGGGTTTAGTAGTTGTTGTGGGAAGTCAGGGACCCCGAATGGAGGGACCGGCTGAAACCACGGCAGAAGAACATAAATTATGAAGATTTCATGGACATTTATTTGTTCCCCAAATTAATACTTTTATAATTTCTTACACCTGTCTTTACTGTAATCTCCGAACATAAATTGTGAAGATTTCATGGACACTTATCACTTCCCCAGTGAATATCCTCGTGATTTCCTATGCCTGTCTTTATTTTAATCTCTTAATCCCGTCATCTTCTTTGTAAACTGAGGAGGATGAATGTCACCTCAGGACCCTGTGATTGTATCAGCTGCACAAATTGTTTGTAGAGCGTGTGTATTTGAACAATATGAAATTTGGGCATCTTAACAAAAGAACAGGATAACCGTGATGTTCAGGGAACGAGAGAGGTAACTTTGAACTGGCCGCCAGCGAGCCGGACGGAACAGAGCTATATTCCTCCTCTTTCATAAGCAAATAGGAGAAATATTGCTGAATTCTTTTTCTCAGCAAGGAACATCCCTGAGAAAGAGAATGCGCCCTTAAGGTAGGCTTGTAGATGGCTCCTTTTAAGGCGTCCCGTCTTTTATGGTCGAAGCCGATAGGATGAAATAAGCCCTGGTCTCCTATAGTGCTCCCAGGCTTACTAGAATGGGAAAATTCCCACCTAATAAATTGTGATCAGACAGGTTACCTGCTCTCAAACACTGTTTCCTGATAAGATGTTATCAATGACAATGCGTGCCGGAAATTTCATTAGCAATTTTAATTTCTCCTCATCTGGTGGTCCTGTGATCTCACCCTGCCTCCATTTGCTTTGTGATATTGTATTATCTTGTGAAGTATGTGATCTCTGTGACCCACACCCTGTTTGTGCACTCCCTCCCCTTTTGAAAATCGCTAATGAAAACTTGCTGATTTTATGGCTCGGGGAATATCACGGATCCTGCCGACATGTGATGTCTCCCCCCGACACTCAGCTTTAAATTTCTCTCTCTTGTGCTCTTTCCCTTTATTTCTCAGCCCAGCCGAGACACTTGAGAAATAGAAAAGAACCCACGTTAAACATCGGGAGCGGGTTATCCCGATATCTAGTATCTCACTGTGGTTTTTATTTGCATTTTCCTAATTGCTGATGATGTTGAGCATCTATTCATATGATTATTTTCCATCTGTCCTTTTTTCCTTGTTACTTTTGTATTTAGACATTTTGTTTTGAAATAATTTCAGACTTATGGAAAGTTAAGGATATTCTGTACAACTACAGAGGAAGCATTTATTGAGGCTCAGCTATATGCAGTCTGTATTCTAGTTGCTTTCCTCAAGAAATCTTCTATGTAGAGGAGTAAAAAAAGTGATTTTACAAGTTTGAGATTTTAAAAGGGAGAATAATTAGTCACCCTTGAATGACAGAAGACTTCACGTGCAGAGTGCTGTATTAACAGTAACAATAACATTTATTGAGCAGAGTATATACTAAGCCTTGTGTGGGTGTTTTACATGAAGTAGATAATTGGATCTTCAGTATGATTCTGAGACATGTAATATTATTCCCACTTTTACAGGTGAGGAAACTTTAGAAAGACTGGATTTAGGAAGAGAAGAGCTATCCTGGAATCTTGATCTTGCTGTTGTCTGTGTTTTGGCTAGAAAACTGATTCAGTGAACTATTAAAAACATGTTTATTGACAAAACGTTTCCTAATCACATACATTTGTGAAACACTATGTGCTATATCCTCCAGCGTAGAAAAACATGAAGACATTACACATGTAACTTATTGTGCCCACCCAGTCTGAAGTATCCACTAATCTCTTTATGCATTCTCTTTTAGTGTCTTCATCACTGACTCCGGTTAATTATTGTTTATTTACTTCCCCCTTTACTAGAAAGAATGTTCCATGAAGGCAGGGATTTTATTCATGTTGTTCACTGTTTTAACTCCCAAACTCAGTTTAGTGCCTGGTATATGGTAGGCGTTCAGTAAATTATTTGTTAAATAAAAGAATGAAGGTTTCTGAGAAGACCTCTCATTAAACATTTGTTTAACACAGAGCTTTGAAACGTATTTGACCGTACTATTCTTTCGCTCTTGTTATCCAAGCGGGAGTGCAATGGTGTAATCTCGGCTGACGCAACCTCTGCCTCCCGGGTTCAAGTGATTCTCCTGCCTCAGCCTCCCAAGTAGCTGGGACTACAGGCCCCTGCCACCATGTCCGGCTAATTTTTGTATTTTTAGTAGAGATGGGGTTTCACCATGTTGGCAAGGCTAATCTCGAACTCCTGATCTCAGGCGATCTGCCTGCCTCAGCCTTCTGAAGTGCTGGGATTACAGGCGTGAGCCACTGGCCCTGCTGTATTCTTTTTCTTTATGGAGCATTTAGGAATACCTCAAGGAACATCGATATTCCATGGGACTATTTGAGAAATGCTATTCTGGGCACATAGTTTACAGTTTCAAATTATTATTATTAGAGTCCCATTTATGAAATTCAGTATTGTATCTACTTTTATTAGTATTTGGAGAAAATTAGAGATGCAGAGTGTTTAGGGGTTTATATTTTAACATATAGTTAACTGGAACTTTTTATGTTAATGAAGCAAGAGATGGGAAATAATTCAAACCAGTAAATAACTTTAAATTGCTTATTTTTAGTAGTAGGATTTATTTTGTTTCTTTGGCAGTGAATTTACCATTTTGTAAATGGTAAATTTGTATTGACTAATAAATAAATATTTTGTATTGACTAATACAAAATACTGTGCCCGACCAATATAGTATTTTAAAAAAGGAAAGTAGAGCGTTAGTGTTTGTGAAAACGTAATGTGAAAGGGCCAGGTGTGGTGGCTTACGCCTGTAATCTCAGCACTTTGTGAGGCTGAGGTGGGTGGATCACCTCAGGTGAAGAGTTCAAGACCAGCCTGGCTAACATGGTGAAATTCTGTTTCTACTAAAAATACAAAAAATTAGCCGGGTGTGGTGGCACATACCTGTAATCTCAGCTACTCGGGAGGCTGAGGCAGATGTTGCAGTGAGCCAAGGTCGCACCATTGCACTCCAGCTTGGGCAACAAGAGTGAAACTCTGTCTCAAAAAATAAATAAATAAATAAATATAGTGTGGAAGAATGGACATGTCTACATCTGTGTTGTGTGTGGAAAAAAAAGGAATGGACATATGAGTCTTCTGTGAGATAATACGGGTTTCAGTGTCTTCTCTGCCTCATGAATCATAGGACAAATTTTAGCACTCTGCCTTGGTCACCTTTACATTTTTTTATTTTTCAACGTGGGGTCTTGCTCTTTTGCCCAGGCTGGAGTGCAGTGGCAGAGTCATAGCTCACTACAGCCTCAAACTATTGGGCTCAAGCTATCCTCCTGCCTCAGCCTCCTGAGTAGCTGGGACCACAAGCACACGCCACCACACCCAGCTAATTTTTTTTTTAATGTTTAATTTT